AGAGCCTGAAAGTAGAAAAGTGTACGTACGAAACTCAGGTTATATGGATTAATGGTGCTTGTTGTATTACAAGGGATACAGCCTTAGCTACAAAACAGACTCATTTTACACTGGTTTTCGTGGCGCTAACAAGCCTGCTAGGTTGAACCTGTTGGGGATATCAAGAAATTGTGATACCTCTGTTCGAATACTCCATCAACATGTTCTGTTGAGAGTCCATAAATCTAGATACCATTCTCGTACTTGATGTTCGGAAAGATTTTTTTGTGAAAAATCACCTGGGAGTGCCTCAGTTTCTGGAAAATATGAAGCCACAGAAATAGAGTCCGCTGATTCTAAACCCTCTTCGACCACAGTTCTCTATGAACACATTACTGTGGACGCCTGAAAGTAGCACTTTACTACCCTACAGGATGCGTATTTCGATCGCTTGCCAAGTTGATCCATTTACATATCTGTTTCGCTTTATTTGATAACGAAAACCTCACGTTTTTCCCTAATTCTATACTTACTTTAGGCAGACAGTGACTGTTTTACCTAACAATACTTGAACCGAACGGATTCGATTGGTGGGTTCAACGAGCTTGGCATTTGGATCACTAATCGAAGCGGTGCCGTCACTTTAGGGTTGGGTGGGCTAATCCCTCCTCTTCCGCATGTGTTTATGTAGTTTCTAAACAGTATGTGATAGCTCTAAAGCAGTTGGCCGGTGCCTAGGTGGCCTTCAGGGATTTCGATTGGTCACCTTGGAATCTGAGATGCGTGATGGTCTCACTTCCTTGTGGCTGGTTGGTTCTTTGGATGCATTTGACTGGACACTTCTGTTCCTTCGATGTGATCGGACCATTCCGTTTCTACTTTGTGGCCTGAATCTCTTCCACTTGATTGATTGGTTTGGTGGCCTTCTGTTTTTAATAGTTACTTTGATCCCACTGGTTTGTTGGTTGTTGTCAGGTTGCCTGATCCCCAATCTGGTTAAGAGTTCCGTGATTGTGTCGTTCATCATCTCGTAGCGGCTGGTGTAACGGTGATACTACTGATGGGGAGGCACGCGAGTAGCATGTGTTGTTCGTAGAATTTCGCTTTGCGTCTATTGAAAAAGGGANGGGAGATCTGTTGCGGAATTCGTGGAGCCACTTTGTAACATTTGCTTGAATTTGACCGACGAATGAGTGGAGTCAATGAATCTCCAGGAAAGTTCAAGAAGACTCGTTCGGGAGAAGATCGGTGTCCAGGTTTTGTAACTAAGATGCAGATCAGAGTTTTGCTTCCATGTTCAATGGTCTGTAACCGGTCAGTTAGCATTTCCTAATAAATAACTCCTCAGCGAAAGCCTTCTTCTTTTCACTGGTAGAGTGAGTCGTTGTCGGTGTTTATTGTTCGATTTTTGTGTAGAGTATCACAACTCGGCACACTCTGTATTCTTTGTGCGTCAGCAAGCACAGGCACATTATCCAATTTGGACTCATGTCTTTCTTTCCCCTCGTGGATTGAAATACGTGACAATGGTTCATGTCTTCTGCTAGCAAGCTTGTGTTCGTTTATTCTGGTGGCAGCTTTTCCTCCAGCCTGGCCAACATAGTGTTTGTCGCAGTCGTTACGCTGGAGTTTCTTGATCACGTCTGTTTTCTTTATTGCACCCAACTTTCCCTCTGATTCTGAGGGTATTTTAATCAATGTGGTTGCAGCCTTGAAGGCGAGTGTTATTTCATGTTACCAAAAGTGTCTTGGAGTCATTTCCGCAACGCTTTTTGAGTACCACAGCATAATTTTTCTCTGTTCTGGCTGCGTTGGCAAGACAGCCTTGTGTTGGTTTCGTAAACATCTCCACACATAGTTCCTGGCGTCTGACGAAGTCCTCGCTGTTTGTTCTTCTCCGAATCTGTTGTGTTGCAGTGTGTCTCAATTCGGTCTTTAGTTGGTTCAGCTGTGCCCTCGACGCTGGTTGGCTGATGAACACACTCGCCGCAGTTTCTCGGGATTTCGTGTGAGGCTTGGTTTGGAATGTTACTCTTAAAAGGGGACGTAGTTAATTCCGTTGTTATTTGGCAAAGGCCAAGGCCTGAGAGTTCGGGAAGCCACAATTAGAAATGGGTTGTTGTTAAACTGCTGGAAAGTCTAAATTAAAGATGATGGTACCCATGCTCAGACAATAGCGTGTTGCATAATTTCATCGGACGCAGTTCACGTCCACAGACTGACCAAAGTGATGTGCATGAGGATAATTCGGAGTTGGAATCAAGTGACTGCATTTCATGAACCACATAATGAAAAAATCTTTCCCACCGGTTCGTAGATTGGTTTAGTTATATTGATAGGTCAAGGACCATAGCGACTTTTCGAGCTTTATCGCGAGAATTTAAACATATGATAAAATATATCATAATATAATATGATATAATATGACATGATATAATATAATATAATATAATATAGTATAATATAACATAATATATATATAAATACAACTCAATATAATAATATAAATACCGGTGAAACCAGTGGTCGGGTTAAAGTAAAAGCGTTTGAAAGTAATTCCAACCTTCCGACGGTCCCCTTAATCTCAGTAGATTACCAATCTCGGAGTGCAGAACAGTACATATTTAAGAAAATTTCAAATGCATTTTAAACTTACAGAGAAGTCTAAGAAACTCAGGATAATTTTCCAGAAAGCACCGATAACATTTCAGACGGTGTTATGAGCATGTTAATAAATTTTCATTCTCACGATTCAGATTGAACAGAAAAGGCGAATTCGTCGACATAAGGTGTAATGTGATTGTTCACCTATTGGTCAAGTCAGGACGGTTAAGTCAGTGATGATGACGTGCGCTTAACCTGGCTTTAATTGCTGTCTCATAGCACTGACTCCATATAGTCTCCTCTCGTGCAGCCCGGATTTTTATCAGCATGTAAATTACTGAATCTCTCAGCGCAATGGTTTTGATCAAATAATACTGTATTCCAAACGCTTTAAAGGCTGAGCTCGTTGATCCTGCAAAATTTTGAGACGTGTGGATTTGGAGCCGTAAAAGGCTTGCCCAAAGTTTGCCAGAAGTGGGTCAATCTGTAGGGCCGAGAAACGCAACTCATCTGCTTTTTTCCTATTTGGAGTAATTTGAAGTGTTCAGTTTATGACTTTGTACAGGGAAACAAGAAAACGGGTTTTATTTTACTCTTTGAATCGTATAATATTCGGCCAAGGGTGACTGACTGGTAGTATGTTAATCCCGCTGTAAGATATGGCACTGTCGTCCTTCACGTCACGTGATCCCGAGCTGGCTGGATGCTCCGACACTGGTTTCTCAGATGAGAGGTTCAGGTGAAATACAGGGCGTTCGCATTTTGTGAACTCATTTCTATTACGGCATGCAAAATTATGCGCACTGACCAAGCATGAGATTGTCTTTTTGGCCGTCGGTTCTTGGTGATTTTCTCTGCATGTTCCGAATTCCACCTGATCACCTAAAATATACTGAGTAAGCCTGATCCAAATTTGAAACTGAATATTAACACGGTATTCAGTCATGAACAAACTGAACAGTCTAACGTCGTATCTAGATGCCCAGGATGGTTTAAGCTGCAGTTCGTGTCAATGCTGTCTAGTTTTAGGTTTGCTACTTAACATCAAAGTTTACGCATTTACATTCTAAACCCTGCCGTTCTTATGAGGGACCCAGTAAATGTTTTGGCTGATAGCCGAAAGGATTCCATGACATTTTGTGTTTCAAAGCTCTATTACGCTTCTCTCTAAAAATTTTCAAAGCGACCTGTAATGAGAATTCGATTTGAACGATCCAAACATGCCTTTATGTCTTCTTGAACTGTCTGTGTATGTAGTTTACGCACAATTTCCAGAGGTTATTTCTTTTTACATGATTAGTACGCAGAGTGAGCCAATTAGACTAGGGATTTCGACGAGTAAACCATGCTTGTTTTAGTACGCAACGTCCTCAGTGCCTTCCCTGTTTAGCCAAGATTGCAAAATTACCTTGTAATATGTTGAAACTTCTGGTTTAATCCGAATCATGAATAGTTCCATTTTACCCGCGAAAAGGCAGCGTGTTTCAGGTCAATATGCAATTTAGTGAATTTGCTTGTCTCTTACATCGACATTTTGTAGTGACTCTGTTAATTGCACCTCTAAATACAGCCAAGTTTTATACACGACGATTATCCTAGCGGCTTATCTTGGTCTGTTCCCGGTGGTTCATTCTCCTATTTAGCTGACCGTTTCATCTATAGTATTTTGGCACTCACGTAACGCTGACCATCTACCTATAGGGCTGATCGTAAGCATGAGCCAAACACGGGGATAAGTCAAGCTGAAAGCAGACAGTTTGAATTCCTGAATTGCCAGACTGTTTCTCGGCAGAGATCATCACGTAAACACAAAAACCACACCCTATCAGGCTTGTAACAAGGCACTACTCGCCAGGAAACTGTCCGATCGTCTTGGACCTTTTACAATTCATTTGGAGCAGTAACTAGAGCTTGATTTCTTTTTAGTATGGTTGAGCTCACGTGAAAGCTCTTCTGTCAAATACACAACCTGGGCTACTAAAAGTGGACAAACCTGACTTGCAGATCCATTCGAGTGGATGAGACAGAGTGCAATTGGGACATGTTTAATTTGGGGCTACCTACCTTGAGTATGAAAGTTAGGTAGTTCTCGTAAACTTTAGTTCATCCATCATCACAATAGGGAGCTTATACACAATGTGTTTTAGCCGAAAATTTTGTAAGACCACGATCGTCTGTCAAAATAATCAACAGCTTAAATTTTTCAGTTGTTCAGAGTTGATGATGAGAATTCGGTTACCGTTTCGTGCATCGTTGCCTTGTGGTACTCTAAATTTCGTGAAATTGTTAAATGGATCCTCCAGTGTCTTTTTGTTAAACATAAATGCGCATCAAATATTGTGGAGGTGGGCAGACAGAGTTTGCCTGCGCAACATAACAAAATACGTTTGAACTGTTTTTCTGTCTCTTGTTTTCAGTGTACCAAATAATTGGAGTTCGTTCGGAAGGTCTTGGTTTCTCTCCATACGAGATGACAATTTCGAGCATGAAGGATGTGGAAAAGAAGTGTTGCTACAGGGTAATCGTGATATTTATAGATGACTACTGGTGATCAAAACAACTTTTTCATTTAAATTGTAATTTGATTAAGTAAGCATCAAATATTTCAACATATAAGTCCCACTTGGATATCTTCGAACTTAAGGCCGCAACTGGTAAGTCATTCGTGACGGAACAAGGGCATTTAGACGGAAGGATGGCCGATCAAAATTTGTTTAAAGTGTCGACTTCTGCAGTATGCTCGTTTTCAACCAGTTTGTCATCATACCCGCCGTGTATCTGCCACAAGCGTTTTTGTTGCTCTCCAAGTTGCTGTTGATTGAGTTATCACAAAGACCGGACAAAGTGATCGAGTAAACGCAGGAGACTTACCAACTAGGGATAATTTTTAATACCCAGAGAGTGACGGGGTGGCTTTGTGGATCAAACGGAGTAGTTAGCAGGATAGCACTGATGGGGTCCCGAACTGGATTCCACCCGAAAGAGGAAATACCGAAACAGACAGCCTTTAGAATTTCACGTTACCCGGACTGATCCTGTTTGCTTATTTTTGAAACGTTTGGCGTGAATTGACAGTGAATAAATGGTTGTCTGATGTTGCTGACTTCAAGCCAGCTCTGCTTAGGTCGGAACACGCGTACAATCGCAGACTGAGATTCAAGTAGTGGAAATTTTGCGCCGCTTTCCCAAGGATGAACCACTAAGATAATTTGAAAGACTTTCGCTGCTCGTTTATACAAATCAAATGTAGATGAAGTAAATCCATATTTTAGTAGATAAAATACAAGTAGAATGAGCAAGACACTACGTCCTGAGGTATCGGTTTATCATAGATCCTTCTAACAGCTAAGCCATTAGGTTCACATGGTGTCCTTTCATTGGGAAACAAGACAGTTGAGATAAACCATCATTTTGCATTTGAACTTACTGCAAGTAACTGACTATAATGTACGTCTTCTAAGTAGGACAAAGTGCGTGTATCCAGTGAAATCCGTTAACATGTGTTGATTCAACTGATGTAGCAACATGCGAAACAGATCTTCCTGACGACCTGATCATCATCACAGTAACAAGTCTCGGAGTTTCATTCATTCCATAACTTCGTTCTTTACAGAATTTTTTCGAAACTGCCCGTATTCTGTTGGCGACTCACAAGTAAAGCAGAACCCTGTTTTTAATTTATCTGAATATACATGTATGTATATTTGAAGACATTACAATGTCTTTCGGTGACACGTGTAAAAATGCTTCACGTCTCCCTGTTCAACCTTCGCCGGATCATCATTCAAGAAACAGTCTACCAAGCATCGGAAAATCAGCAAAAACGCAGCTCGGAAACTGACTCAACACTAACACCACGCTCAGTCAGTAATAGAGAGTTTGTTGTGTATGCAAAGTCCATCCATGCTATACAACCGAGAAGCACAGTGCTTCGACAACCCACAACCCCACTTGGGACTGATTCAAAAAATGTCATAGACAACAAGGTCAAATGGATTTACTTAAGCCTCCGGCTAAAACCAAACTGTGTGCGAAAGTGTGTCCGGCGAAGTGAGACTGGACATCCAAGCTATCGACAGGTAAAGACAAGCTAGGAAATAACGATGGTATGAAATCCAAAACCTCCAGCCGCGACTCGTTGGAAACACTTCTCACTAGTGTGTTCTCTTCTAGAGGCTTGTTGTCTCTTGTGCATTTTCCCAGCATTTCTTTCCTCTCCCATCCATTCGACGATCATTTTATCTGAGGAATTAAGGTTGTGTGCTGTCCTTGATTGTTTTTTTCAAAACGTGTTGCCGTATTTTTCCCTTTCCTCGATGATTTTTTCTGTGTCCAAGGGTTGGAATTCTGACTTCTCAAAATGGTCTAAAAGATACTTTATTTATTATTGTTCCACAGTGTGTACCTCTCACCCGCCGAAGTATTCTTTTAGAGGGCGGATCCTAAAAACGATGAAAAGTGGCACAACTTAGTTACTCATACCCTGAACATGACGTTGCCATTTTTTGAGCAGCTCAGTACTTCAGGTGTACAGACGACTGTTGTCAGATCACAAATTCACTTTTGTCATCAACCCATGAGAACTGAGTTTTGAGCTGCCTTAACCATATTATCGTCAATATCGTGCATGATTAAATAGCTTCTTTCAAGCAAACCGTATTTTGATTGCAGCTCACTGGTTCCACAACCTTAATTTCCCCATGTGTGATGCACGGATCCGTTCCCAACACTTTCTTACGTTTTACACAGAGGAGACTACTTGTGTTGCCCACGTTCTTACTTCACAGCAAGTATCTTCGTATTTTTATTTATTGCCGGTATTCTTGTCCTCGGATAAGGCTCCATGGAATGGGTAACCTTTGCGAGATGTTTCCACCTTATATTTTTAACCTTCAATTGGTAAATGGTTACAAGGTTTAGGAACTAATTCACTTCCCAATTTTTCCTCTGACCTCAAAGCCGTCTTTACTTGTCATGAAGTGCAACTGTTCAATGAATTTTTTCTGGAGATTCATCACTGTTAAACATTATGAGGCCCAAAGTACTTCCGCGCTGTACATTTTGCTAAACGCAACCCGATTTCAGCGTGCTGAAACATCAAAGTCTCGTCGAACGATAAACTTGCGCTTGAGCCAGGTTTTACACTAGAAACTGCCAATGGTAATACCACTTCGTTTTATATGTTGTAGGTGATTGTAAATCGTAACCTGTGTGTAGCAACTTTGTCGGGTAAACCAACTATTCTTTTAACTTTTCGGCGCATCAGCTCTTTGGCTTCACTCTGTTACCTTTGCATGCACTGCAAAAACGCAAAAAGCTTATCACCTTTCGTTGGGAGTCAATGCCTGACCTTTCGTGCTAAATGGTGGAAATTTATTAGGAGTATACTTTCTCCTGGATTGGTTATCCGAAACCTGGTACAGCCATTTGGTTTCTAATAAGAACAACGATTGTGATCCAGCGATGTATGGTTCCATCTATATGCATAAATTAGATGTCGTCGGGGTGTATGACTGCGATATTTTCCTGGATTCGGCATTATGGAGCGGTGGAGTGCTTAAAGACGCAAATTGATGACAGCGAGTTCAAACTTATGTCCTTGGGCTCTAGAGAATAGCTGCTTTATAACCTTAGCGACACTTCCCTGATGCAAGCAGTTCGTTGGCTAATAGTCTAACTTATTCTGAGGTCGTTGTGTACCAGCATAAACTAATAAATAACGCACTAGGTCTTTCCGACAAAGCGGAGAAGTAATAAAAGATGCACGAATAAAATCATGACACAACTATTATGATAGAGTTCGATAAATACATACCGATTTGCTCTTGATGGGAACTCACCTTGAGCACACCTGAATCTTTCGTTTATGATATTCTTAAACGACTGAATGTGTTGAACCAGGCAGCCTCATGGTTCAAGTGGCACTATATTCCAGATATCGCGGAGTTTTTGGCAACCTCATGAGTAGTGTAGTTTGCCTATACCTTAGCAGAAGTATGGTAGTCCACTTACACCGCGAAAGCACGAGACCCTGATGTCACATAATCCGCTAGAATCTAACTAATTTGAGAACGATTACCCATGAAAATACATACCACCAACGTGTTGGACAGCTTCATGGTTATGATGTTGATCTTCCTAATCGGTAGCAAATTCAGTGCTCTTCATTGATGGTTTGCCGTCTTATTGACAGATTTTACCCAAAAAGTGATTAAAAATCCAAACATACCTCCATTTCAAGAAAAGTTACTGCAGAAAACGTGACAAAAACTGATTTTCGGCCTCCACTTCGATATCCCTGTGGTTTAAGTTTCATCGACGTGAACTAAAGATAAGTTGAGGCGTCAGCAGGTTGCCGCATCAAGAAAAAATTCCTATGTGAAATAAAAAACGAATGCAGATTCCCTGTGCTGGCTTGTATCGAATCTCTCAACAAACTAACAAACTGCGGGACAGTAAATCTAACAGTTTCCTACACGCCTATTATTTTGCTACTCTAAGCTATCGGGGAACCTACTGATTTTTTACCAATGGGTTTTTCCTCCCACCACACGTTGTAATTTGGAAATAAACCAGTACATTCGGATAGGCTGTAATCTGATTAGTTTGACAGTCAACTGTGGCACCGAATGAAAAGCCAATTATATAACCAACTCACTTCCTGTTTATTTTACAGGCGCGTGAATTTCATTCCTGCGCCCTAAAGGATTTTGTCCTTCATCGAGCTGCAAATACAATGGGCTGTGTGTTGGAAGTATTGATTGATTATGCGCAATTTAGTGTTGATGGTACACAGAGGCTACAAGACACTTTGTCTGCGCATCGTCATTTGACATTTGCGGTTATTGCCGGACGCAACCAGATTACCGCTCAAACAGGTAAGCTCTATTCGATCCCGAATATCTGCCAACGTTTGACCACCCAAGTCCTCATAGTATGACTGACTATAGTTGGGCCATGTCTTAAGGCAAATGAGGAGTCATAGTATCGTATACATAGTTCTGTATTATCAGAGATGAGACGTTTGCCTCGCACGTCCAACTACGGCCGAAGATTGAAGTACATTGTTTCACAACTGCATAGCGAGACCCTGATTATAGAGATTAGCACCAATCGAACCCTTAAATGGAGTTCACCTTGTAGGTGGACATTTTTTGTCAAAACATTTCACATGTCCATTGCATTTTGATCACCATTTGTCGTTTTGTTGATTTCCAATTACACAACAGCGGTGCTGTTGTAATGTCTTTATGTGCAACATTTTTCGGCACCATCAAACTACTACCACCAAATTAATGGTGGTTCCTACAGAACTCCTAAAAGACTACTGATGGCTGACAAGGAGTGCAAAGCGCTATGACAGCCACTCGGTCAGTTCAGTCGATATCAGATCAAGAGCTGTGCGCGACACGTGATATTCTGATGAATTCGAATCACTGATGTGCCAAAGCCACGCTGCGGCTTTTGTGCTTGTTTTTATCACAAACTGATAGACTTCACATGTGAAGTGAGCTACTGTACGCATAACTCTGGCCAATAGAGCAAAGGAAATAGATTTTCACGAGTATCCACGGAGAGAAAATGTTAACCACCAGCATACAAGCCAAAATAAACAGCAGACAGACTATCAAGGTACCTGTGGAACGACATAAAACAGTAGTTTGGTTTTAAAATCGAGAGAAAACAAGTGCCTCATATGAGACAATTTCCAAAATACGCATTTTGTTTAATAAAGGCCTTTGACGGAATGAAATGCAGGCGTCATTTAAAATGAGGTAGGCCGAAGTTCCAAATTTACGGGGCAACCATCCGAAAATTGCGACCTGAACTGGAACCAAAAGTGCTGTCTAGAAGGCAAAGATTACCGAATGGGATAACCACGAGTTATTGCGTGACGAAATGGGAGCAGAGGTCTTACGGACAAACGTTTATCATTTGAAATTCTGCATGCTATTACTTCCATTTACGCGCGATGAATGCATTTCATCTGGTGTCTTCAAATATATGGGCTAAATTGTTGTTCATGTGAAACTATGGGATGACATAGGCTAAGAATATCACCCAACTTTTCCTGAATACAGAGGTCAGGTTTGGATCGAGTGGTTGGTTCAGTACTGTCTTGTGGTCAACCTGCTTGTGGCCACGTTTGTTCCGTTTTCTTATTTTTTAACATGCCCGAACCTGGCGATGAGGCATTGCCCACAGTCTGTTCCGCTGTTGCACTGAGGTTTGGAATAAACTTATCGTAACTGGGCTGCCACGGAGACCTTGCGGTACACAAAAATCCCGTAAAATTGTATAATTATCCAGATACTTGTTGGTCAATAGTTAACAGCTACCTCACATCATTATGTGCGTATCACACTATCATTTTGATTGACAACACAGTCTTATTGACAGCTAACAGATAAACAATCTTTCCGCTCTGTTACAAACTAGCAAAAGAGATTATGCATGCTGGTAAGCCGCCGCCTTCAGAGTTTTTATTTATTTTCTTAACTTTTGTGTACTCATTGTGGCTCCTCAGACTTATATGTGGATAAACTGTCCACAATATTGGCCGGACTTGAAAGTTTCCGGGGTTTCGCGAGACGCGCACCGCTAGTGATTCTCAATGAAACAGCTGCACAGTACAAACGCCAATCCACTTCACTTATAAGGCATATTCTCTGCTAAAAAGTTTCCAGTCACCCCATACACTACTGACGAGCTAAACAATACTACCCAGACCTCAGTGCAGTTCGTGAAATGGGGTCCAGTTTTACGGTATACCACAGAACATTTGTCTGCCTGACAAATTTTTTGTGAACACCCAACGAATCATGCAGGAATCTAATTATGCGGTCTTTTGTACAGGAAAATGAATAAACCACACAACTCCTCGTTATTTAACTAGTGCTAGGTCAGGCTAATAAAATGCTGGGATTCGATCACGATGCAATATCTGATTTACAAACAACTGGCCCAAACTCACTGTTGAGTCAAGGATGTGATTTGATCGATTTCTGACTGGCGTGTGCTCTGGTGTGCTACTAAAACTATATAGTTTCTCAAAATGTTTTTCAAAGAATGCTCGTCTAAGGTAACTTGATTTGTCGTACAGATTTCATTGGCGGAATTACCGAAAGTCTGCAAGTCTTACAAAACCTCTACGGAATCATGACTGTCCTTCAACACGGGTGCACGCTTCGATGCAAATAGCGTACATTAATAACTTTCTGAGATGTATAATTCGAACAGAAATTGAAAAGCCTTGGAACAAAATTTGTTGTTGAAGAACCACTTTGTAAGAACTTGTCCGGAGGTAGCATCTTTGACAGGCGACCTCAAATTGGTTCTTTCACGCGGCACTAACCCATTCACTTTGGGAAATATGGAATCTCTCAGTGGTGTGATTATGAAAAAAAAATCTTTTTAACATGTTTTCATATGAGTTACCTGAGAGAGGGCATTACTTTAGGTTAGAATATAGGGGCTAATACATGGTGATCTTTTTCCGCCAATGAATGGTCCAACGATATAATCACCGGTTCTGATGCTCAAACCTCTAACAAAAAGCTGTGGATGACCAGTGAGCTCATTCTGTGAAGGTATGAATCGCCAAAAACAATTATGCATCGAGTGGCATACATCAATACATAGACAGATTTTAAATAAGTTTGGCGTACATAGCAGCAAAGGGAGTCTTCTGAAATTTTTCCGAAATAACTTCAGAAAATGTGACGAGACGAGCTTGGTATGGGGTGACAAATGCATATGGTGGGAAAGTATGAGCAAATTGGTGTTTCCTACATGAATTTGGCTTTAAAAGTTCCCAGTGGATCCGAAGGGAATCAGCGACAGATGTTGAAAAAGCAGCAGATGCACAAAGAGAACCCCGGCTGGCGGCTCTCCTCAGGGTTTTGTTCTGTAAGTGAAGGTGATCTATGCACGAAAGTCAAGGCGCACCTTGCATATGTTTTACTTCTACTGAGAACCATCAGCAGTGTACACCCCGATGATCTGTGGGGCAGTTTGAAGACAATCTGTCCGATAAACCTGTGAACTGCTACTCCAACTAGACTTCGCGGGCTTTTCACTCACTCAGTTTGGTTTCCCTATAAGCACCCCCTGCCAGGCAGTGAACAGGAGCCGCATACTCTGTGCGATGCTATGTTTACTCCCTAGCGGTTGTTCAGGATACGAAGAACGGATTGGTTTGTCATGAAGAGACAACTTCCCTGCGATTTGTATTCTTACGAAGTAGTCGGGCAACTGGTCTGTCCAGCGTCGGGGAAAGATATGATCCAGCAAAAATGTGGATACAATTCCAGATCCCGGTGGTACGTCCAGAAGTGTTCAGACTCCTATAATGCTGGCAATCTGTAAACAGTAAACAAGACCCTACCTACTTTTCTGGCTTATTTCTGGCTTTCAATGCATTACGCGCAATTTTGTTAGTTGGATATTGTGCTGAGGGAGCTGGCGCTAAACTGGTCTTTCAGGCATAAAATGGGTTACTACTTTGCCACAGAATCAAGATAGAAAGGCGGTGTACACAACAATTTATCCCGGATACGGGCTCTATAAACTGAAGAATGGTATAGACCTAAATGGATCATGCGTTTACTATTAGGGAATTAAGTTGTACAAATTGCTGGTACTAATATGCAGAAGAATGCACTACTAGGTAACAATTTAAAGTATCTTTGTGAGGGAACCCTCAACTGCACACACGGTCGTTTCTCTTGTCACTTATCAAACATTATAAACTGAACTGTTCATTGCAAGTCATCGATTGTTTTATATTAGTGTTGGAGCGTAACCTAACTCCACTGCCGTCCGTGTTTACAGAGATACAATTTGGCATCCCTGGACCGTTCACCCGCCACTGGTTGCATTATTTTGTAAGTATTTGCCAATACTTTAGGGTAAAATTGGAAAAGCATTCACCTCACGGCCATTCAAATAACACCTGGGCTTGTTTAAGCAACATGCTTGAATGTCTCCCACTCTTGGGCTAAAGGACAATGTGGAAAGTCACGAATTCCGCCTATTCCAGAAAGCCTTGTGTGATTTTCGTACAAACCAACAAGTGTTTAGGTTTCATGAAGACGGAGATTGGAGGTCTGCAGAAACACATCTGATTCGAATGTAAACCCTGTTCCTTCAGTAAACGACACATCGATATTCAGATGAATCATCAGATAACCTCTGGCAATCCGTAATTCCAGGCTAGGTGCCTTTATGAGCCCTCAGAGTTAGCTGGAATCGTCGGTAACTTTCACGCTAAACCCCTTAGATCACGTATTAAAAAGATGCAAACATTCTTGGGCAGACCGAGTATTATTTGGCACCAAAGACGTCTGCGTCATTTCTGAAGATGCTGCGATATTTAAGAGCCCCAATCTACTTTTCCTAGTCAAAAATCGTCAGGTTTTCTGTGCCAATTTTCTGCATGGAAACGAGCTGAGATTTGGGGCAGCAGAGTGCGGCCAATAAGCGCACATCATCCATGGATTCCGGAGTATCCAGAGCAGTAGTTTCACACTTATCATGTTGTTTACCTTCATGTCCTGTAACACAGTGTGCCTAGAGCAGTAACGGATAATTTTCCGCAAATAACGAGCATCTAGTCCCGTTCAAGGTGACATTATGACATTTTAATACAAGGGATCTTGTCCGTCCCATATCCTTAAACGGCACGCGCTTCGGCCTACTTGTTGCTTGAGGCGACCAACTGAACACTTTTGCACCAAATGCCCTAACCTTTTCTGTAGATTCATTCGGGTGCTGCCGTCCAGTTAGATATTTCCAAATTTCGAATTCTCCCATTAGACGCTTTTTTATAAGAACCAATGTGTACCTTGCCCAACAAACGAACAGTTAGATGGCAGTCTAGACAAGGACAGATGAATAATGGTGGTGCTGCGTTAGGCCAGACACAAACTCACTCTGACGTGATTAGTTGTGGTGTACATTGATGGCTTGTTTCAGTTGGCCACAGGATTAACGAACTGACAAACATTAAAAACGTGGTCTACAGTTTTGATCGGCAAAAGGAATCTGATCATCAAATTTGTTGGCTTTCCAGGCACTTGCCAGCCTGGAATGGTGCTTTGGTTCACGAGAGCTTTCGCCACAAATTGCGTATACAAATGTGATTTCCACGAGTTCGCCCTAACTTATACTAGCCCGTGTTTGCAGAGCTCGTGTCGATCGTTTACTGGAAGAGGTATGAAAATGTCGTCCGATGCTCATGCCAAGCCAGTCTTTAAATCAGGTCATTACCAGTACATACTCTGCTCTATCCAATAAATTGCATATCCGTACTCGCCAGACGCATGAGGTCATTAGTAACTGACAAAACGCATCCAGTTCTTCGATTCCAGGGATTGATCATCATCGTTTTTGGGGCTGAAATTGGGCACACCACACACCGGTATGTTACTCCGGTGAGTCGTGTTCACGGACCTAAGAGGCACTTAGATCCACATACAAGGAATACACGGTGACATCGGAAAGACGATGCAGCGTACAAACTCACAATTCGATGATAGTCAGTAGGCCGTACTACCAGCCATGAGTTTAGTGGTAGAAAAATCGTGCCATGTATGCATACGTGTATGTGGGACGGATAAAGATTTTTTCTTGACTGAATCAGATCTAGTTGGTGGAAGAAACCAATAAAAAGAAGAAATGACAACTCGTCGAAAACCTAGAGGTCGCTTGAGCCGAGTTAATCGGTGACGCCTTGGACAAATTCCACTTGAAATTTTGCAGCCTACGGCAAATAACATCGTTTGGTTCGAAAATTATCCATACCTTTTTAGATACAAAATGGAATAAATATTCACCCGGCTGGTAGAAAGATCGACGAAGGACACATGCCCACAGAGTGGTTCGCAGCACAGATTTATCGTGCATCAGAATATGACTCCCAAGGTCCTTATTGGTATAAAGTTATCCGTTTCCTCTGGGACATGACAAACCTATTTTCAACCCGGCAAATCTACCTGTATATGGCTGTTTTCCCACGGGTGAAAGGTGAGTGATTTGTTTATATGTTTTTTATGCATACCGAGAGGCTAAAAAGCATCTCAAGCCTGATCACTATCTACGATTTAAATGGTGACGAGCCACGTAAACCAGCAAAAGAAATGATAGCAGACGGATTTCTAATTAACCTGGATTTCATCGGTTCTTCATAGATCATTTTTTAAACGCTTCTTATTCTGCATCAATTTGGGGTACCAAAACTTCACTGTGTGTCTTAACATGATTTGCTTGCTAAAACAATACGTGAACGTCCCACAGAAGCGCACTTTTGTTGCATTACCAGTTAGGAGTCCTGCCCAGTCTCAAGGAGACTAGGTTGCGACTTAATGGTGTATACTACAGATTAAGCACGCTTTAGTTTATTGTCCGGTACTAAGGGTTCGTCTTCGTATCTGGCGGAACGTGGAGGTTATTGTGAGATGTACGGAACTGCCTTGCATTTTTCGATTATAAATGTGTACTCTTCGAAGGACGTCCAGAGAGTTCAAGGAGACTCTCAAGAATGCTCGATTTCCAAAAACGCGGTGCCTATGAATTGTCCGATTTCGTGTCTAACAGCTTCTATCCTGAAAGGCGTGTAAGAGTTGCTTTAAAATTCTAACTGTTTTGTAATGAGACTACCTAACTTTCGGTTTGTTGCACCGAGATTCTTCTGCTGTTGTACGAGTACAGGCCGTAAGCGCGGATATTCCCCGTTCGGATGCATTGTACATTCTCAGCGATAACCTGATCACACCGATGCATGAGTTCAGAATTCAACCTTTTCATTCCTGATACAATGCCATAAACTGTGTGTATTCCCTCTCCAAAGAAACCAGCGCAGAGTGTTTGACTGATTAAACTTTCATAAACTGGGCTTCGCGTTACAAAATCGGCGGGGTAAGAGACACTTGATGACTGGCTCAACGCAAAGGTGACTTTCGTAGTTGGTATCTCGCCCATGGGCATTTTGCCTCAAGGGAGAGGAAACATTTTTTGGAAAATGTGGTTTTGGTTATAGTGGACATAAAACAAATGTGTGGATTTCAGTGAAGAATATCATTCATCGGAAAACGTCAGTCTGTCTCATCCAGTACTCTCACGTGTAGTGTAAAGAGAGAATTTTTTTAAAATGTCGCAGGGTGAGAGAGGCGTTGAACAAATCCAAGCGGACAAGCTGTTTGTAAACAGTTCTTCACTACACATGTTTGCTGTTCGGACGAAGTTATCGCAGTGTCCCAAATATGGTGCCTTGAGCATAGTTTACATTTGCTGACACAGTGACTCACAGTTTGTGCATTGTTCGCCAAAGTGGGTTCTGTTGAAAAAAATAAATGGTACAGAGCCAATCACGTGTTATTCGTCAGTTAAGTGGTTCTCCCGGTGTTTCGCCCTCTGTGTATGCAGTGTGGTCTGCTGACTGGAACACAGTCACGGAGTGCACAATCTCAGGTAGTCTAGCTCCAAATTGGCTTTAGCACTGGTTCACCAGCAATATTTGGGCTGCGGTTTCAGTCCTACGGAAACGGGTTGTGTAGTACAAAATGCAGGCAATAGACCTCAGCGTATTAAAGATACTCACTACTCTCCCAATTTCTCGGTTCACCAGCAATATTTGGGCTGCGGTTTTAGCCCTACGGAAATGGGTTGTGTAGTACAAAATGCAAGCAATAGACCTCAGCGTATCAAAGATACTCACTTACTCTCCCAATTTCTATTGTTTTTTCTTGAACGCGATTGTTTCTACGTACGAAAGCATCATAGCGTTTTCCAGTTATATCCGGCTCAGCTATGACGAAGTTTGCTAAAGCAAACATTAGCTAAAACTACGCAGGCTATGCTGGCCGAAACTTCTCCCTTACTCTTGTCACAAACAATCTGAATGTGAACATTCTGTCTTCCGCTTTCGTGGATAATTTCGTGTGCATTTTCACCGTTCAGCAGAGCATAGCTTTACTAATACTGTGTCTTCTTCCACGTGATTCCACGCATGTATATGCGTTCAGCCATTAAATATCGCGCGATAATTGAAATGTCGGAGGGTATTCAAACCGCATTGTATCATGGAACAACTCATGCAGTCATCCAGCAGTACTGCTGTCCCAATGTAAGTAAACAGGTTGGTTTTGCTTTCATTTAACTCATTCGCTTTTGGACAGGAGATCTGTGATTGGCCAGTTTATTATTTCAATTTATGTGAATTTTGATGTTTAGTTTACCACAAGTTCACTTTTGTGCACTTTGCGCATAAAAACCAGCATACACTTTCAGACGGCTGCAACAGGGTAATTTCAGATTTGACTGGAGCATGAGTTCGACGAAAAACTAGGGAACTACGTCTACCTGATGAACCTCAAGAAGGTTGGCACCACTCCGTGGGCTGTCGAAGATATTAAAAAACCTTACAGGTAGTGTGTTCCTTGTAGAAAATGTCATCTATATCTTTGTAATATACTACTCATAAGGTTGCTGAAAATCCATCGACAGCCCACGACCGGTTTCGCCCACTTTGGGCCTCATCAAGCTGAATCTCTCGTTTCTTCATTATGTTCTCAGGCAAGTGAGTGTGCTGCATGCACCAGGCCGCCTCAAGTTTCAGTCGCTACGATATTCGAGATATCGCAATACATGTATATCTTTGTAATGATGGAAACCCGGGGACTGCGCCTACTTGATAAGCCCCAAAAAGGGCGAAACCGGTCATGGGCTGTCGACGGATTTTCAGCAACCTTATGAGTAGTACATCTCTCTTCCGAGAGATTCCAACAGGCTAAGGCGTTTGGCCGCTGGCCAGTCCCTAACTAAATCGCGCTTCTTGAGCAAATCAACGGATCCAGATCGGGTGATCATTTTGACCGACCTTTTGAGGGACGAATTGTCACCTAGACGGTTCACTCATTATACGAGTGATTCTTCCGTTGAATTACTTGTGGCTTGATGTTGGCTAGGCTATTTTGTTCATACACGTGATCCGTAAACCAAAATCCAATAGACCACCACATTCGACGTAAATGTTGCGGCTAGAACCGTTATTAATCCGTTAGAATATATATATATATATATATACACTGTCTCAGTCCTCTAAGAAATGTTTGCGTTTGGTTGTCCCAAACGTCTGACTATTGGCCTTTGAGCAGGTCTATAGGCAACGGCTTGAAGTAATTCAGTTTCCTTTTCCTTGTGCCTGCAGAAGAGATGTTCGAGGAGTAGAGTGACTTGGGTGTGAAGCGCGCCTACGTGGTTCCCAATACAGTCTTCCGGTTTTTACCGGTGTTCGATTTGTTCACTACATTGCATCAAAGAAAGCTGTTTAGGCAAGAACCGTATAGCTGTGATCAGCAGTCGCCATGACCTCATACAGCCTACGGAGAATACAGGTCTCTTAGCGGCACAATCATCCTGAGGTGGGATACATTCTTGTCGAACCGAGTAGTGCCTTGCTTCCTGCCAACACTCATTAACTACCTCCAGGAAGTGAATCAAAAGTTCCAAGATCAAAACTTTGCATACACTAATTTATGATCAAATGTTGCACCATTTTATGAAAATGTTGCAGTTTGTAGACAATTCGATATTCGAGCAGAGCGCCTGATAATTTATGAGTCTTAGGATACAACTCCTTCGAAAGAGCCGCTTTTTCCTACGGCCAGGTCTGCTGAACAAAATATACAGCAAAATATTCAATGAAACCACAATTTTTGTCAACAGGTACTAAAATATGGTGCCGTAAACTGGCTTGGAAGTCGAGTAGAAATAAGCTGTTGCATGACCTGCGTTATTGCATTAAACTATTATGTGTAATTTGGAGCGCCGGGCCCACGGCCCACTGGTCGATGACGGGCTAAATTTCTGTTCAAAACTTTATGCAATCCTATCACTGCATACCTTTGGGTCAAGTAATACAGACGATAGTGGATACCGCCAGATTTCATATCCTTGCGATATAATTTGTCGCTGAGTCTAGTGTGCGCGTTTTTCACTGTTTTGTTTTCGGCAAGAACGTCCATTTGGTTGTGAAGAGTACGCCGCTAAAAAACAATCCCCTTTATGGATAACTATTACAGCCTTGATGCACATCTTTGTCACTTTATGGGCTCCCCAAAGTTTTGCAGATTTGTTTTTCAATCATATACTGAATACACTGCTGAAAAATTGTATGCCCTTATATTTATTGTTCAGACCTTGATTTATTTCAAAGATTTGTCATCCCTCCTCCTAGCAATACAAAATATCTTTCAACTACCTTCACTGTGACGTACTCCAGTATTATGTCGCAACCGAAATGGAAATATTTGGATGTGCAATAGAACTGCATGTCCCCACAAATGCTCTCGGAGGTGTTCCGAAACCATCGCAACTTCAAATGGGCACTGACGTGTATGCTTTCCCATCAGCACATAAAATAGGTAAGCTGAATCAATGAAATTTCTGTCCAAATCTACGAACCGCCCGTTGTAACTAGCTGGTGATAACAGATGGGCTTTTTGAAGATTCTTAAGGTGTCGTTGCAAAATTAACACCGGTTTTTCCATGCGACAGGTCCATTCAGTTTCGTAAAATACTTATTCGTCTTTGATTGTTTGCCAGTTCAAGGTCAGCCAGCAACTAAGTTCAAACTGGCAGAAAAGTCACGGTAGATGCCATTCGCTAATTCGTGCCATCTTGGTCATTGATAGACCGACACTTCTCTGACCATATACAAATTTCAACTACAAGGATCATATGAGACTGGTCTGCATTGCCCTTGTACGACCGTGTATGATGCATGACGCAGGACACGAATCCTAATTTTTAGGGCACATGAAACCGAAAATGTTGTCAGTTCAAGGCACATTCAAGTTCACAGCAAACATAGCATGTTTCTTCTCAACAACGGAACGATAGATGAAAATTCTTACAGTGTATTGCAATAACTAAACGACAGGTAGCCGGAGATATCTACGTACATGCCAAAATTTTTTATTCGGTTACTTTGTCCAACGTTTTGTACATAATTTGGCAGACCATATACATTTATCGAATGAATCTCCAAGGATCCATGGTGTGGTGCAATAAACTTACTACATGTGTAAGACAGATGGTAACCAGTACGGTTTTCCTGAGTACCTGATCCATACAGTCGGTCCAGTCATCACAATCACAATCCATCAGGATGAAATCCGCGTAGTGTTCTTGGGCTTTATGTGGGTAAGAGGGTTAATACCGATCGGCCTTCCGTCCACCTTGGTCGCTTTCTTGTAGTGGAATAGTTGGAGTCCACGTATATATCAATATCGTCTGAACAGTCCTCCCAATGTTCTAAAGCTACTATCCCGGTGAGTCCACATCAAAGAGGAGAAACACTGGGCTAGAGTTTCGTTTTTATTAGACCGCATCAACTGTCGTTGGCCATATCAAGTTTCAAACCCCAACATCAGACATGCGAGGCGAGCGCACGTTGGAATTTTCGTCTAAACGGGTGAATGTGCCCATACCTGAGTGGTGCAGTGATCTTATTCAATTTTCCAAACGACGAACTAGTAACTATCTTGGTTTTTTAACTGATTTGTCCAGCTGCCAGGACTTCCAAGTCAGGTCAGGTCTCGCCGATTAGTGACGAAAGGTCTGCAATATGATTGCCAAACCCGGTGAACAAATCAACAGTTACCTGCTAAACAACGAGTTATTTAAACTCAGCAACTTTATAAGTAATATATTCCGATTATAGAATAAACCAAATTTTATCCTAAGCTGTCGGAAAAGTCGACCTTTTGGCCAATTAATCCCTACATTTGTTTCCAAACTGTTAGATGCCGAATCCTCAGAAGAAAACGGTTTTGGTAAGTTCACAATACAGCCCAGATTATATCTAACCATTACATGCCATTTTAGAAATAAACTTTTCCTTGTCGAGCAAACCGCCACCAAATTCAGAAGATTTGCTGGTAAGTTGTGCAAACCTAGTTTTACTGAAGTCTTATTCTTCTGATCCCCTACCTCTATCGGAACAATAAGCCGCCCCATCGACAAAAATTTCAAGCCCATCAGAACAGAACGGTAATCTGGAACAAGTTGGGTCGACTCTTGTCTGCAGCCCGTTGCCCATTCCAGTCGATCCGATGATGACCATTTTCAACTCCTTCGATCTTTCCGAATACATCAGAATATATTTCGGTGTCCTTTGTCATAAGGGATTGGTCCATGAGATAGTCCACAACAGAATGCCACATAAATAGCGTGTAGTTCAGGGCGTGTAGGTGGGCTGTTTACTGCAGCCGAGCGTTCGTCATCGTTCACTGTGTCAGAACAGTCTTGGAAAACTAAAGGACGTCGAAACGGAGGATATGTGTCTACGAAAAGATGTGTGCTTGCAGATACATAGGTAGCCCAGGAAGCTTGAAGCCCTTTCTTGGGAATGCTGAGCTTGTGGCAATATTCTTCACCCGGTAAGCGTAAGCGCACCTTGTAAAATCACAGTTACATCAATTGCTACGCGTTACCCAATAATGCCCTTCCACATGTCTTTTGTCTCCGTTCGTCTAAGATATTGTTTATTTGTGCCTAACATTTCTTACAGTTTGAAGCTGTCACCTCGATAATGTCGCTGATCTGAGCCTGATTACTCTGAGACTTTTGTTTGGAATCATTTGTAATCCATATTCCTGTTCCAAATCTTTTGTTCGAGACGGGTTGATGAGGGTTACTAACCAAATCCGCAGGATCCCAGCAGAGATGACTTTAAAGGATCCGTATAATATAATGCTTAAATCCAGGTCAGTAATAGCTCCTAGATCATAAGTATTCCTCCCTGACCTCGGTGAGCTACACAGTTGTACAGCCCCAGTTGGATGTTGAGTTAGATATCCTCTTGAATTTGTGTAATTCCTGTTACTACACACGTCAAGGTAGTGATTCCCTATTTCATCTTGTAGTTTCGGTCATTTTGCGTCTTGCGTACTTCCGGGTTTAGAATTTCTAAAGGACTACTTCATTAATACTTGATAGATTTGGTCAAAATCAACATGCTGCCTAGAACTTTCCGTTAGAGTACCACGTTTTTATAGATTTAAAGTCATTTTTTTCTTCACTGTGCTGGTACTTGAACGTTGTGGAGCTTATGTTTTTGATAGTTGTCCGGTGAAAAGCTTCCCCCCTCGTTTTTCCAGGTTGCCCAATGCCTGTAGTGAATCTTGGTATACGACACTGACTGTCATGAGTGTATCCAAATTTCTTTTTGATTTTCACATTGCCGTCCACAATCTATCTGAATGGTTTGTAGGTCAACACTTTATTGAGCTGTTGTAGCAATTTTGCAAGCATCCCGGGTGTTGGGGTTCCCGATACGGAACTTTGAGTGACGCGTAGGTTCGACAATCCCGAATATCAGAAGGAAGAATTGGGTTCGTAATTCTACGGTACTATTTACACAAGGGTAAGCAAATGTGTACAACAAACCTCAATTGTTCCCCTTCTTAGCGTCAACAAGTTCACAGGTCTGTCACTGACCGGCACGGTGCAGTGTCAACGTCCGTACACCAAACAACAGCGAGCGGAATGATGGCTCAGTAGCGTGGGTTGCGGTCGTTCCTTCCGATGACGGTCTCCCGATAACACGGAACACATGACAAAACAAGTCAAGGCAGACTCAGCAAACGGTACATGAGCGCACATGTTCAAGGCAGACTCAGCAAACGGGACATGAGTAAGAGGGTAAGTGGGTCGGCAGCGCACATTCACACACAGACACACATGTCAATACACAAGTGTCGGAAAGAACGGCCTCTGCAGCAAGGGGAGTGGCGGGTACGAATGAGCAAAACAACGAGATCAAAAGTACATAGGCGGAGTAAGCAAATGAATGGGGGAATTATCATAAGGTCAAGTTAGATTCAACACCGGGGATGGTGTAGATTTATGGAAGTGTGATTCGTATGTCTTCCCTTGGTTTTGTTGAGTTAGTCGGGTCCGATCTCTCGGATGAATGTTGAATGAGATATTTCAGACACTAGCGATAGCATCTGCCTTTGGCATTACTGATTCAGAAATCCTGGCTTCAGGAGAGAATTGGATGTTTAGCTGTGTACAAGTTCGCTTGAGTACGCATATTGTTGACACGTAAAAATTTATTCCACATAAATTCTATTAACTTTAGGATATATGGCCCAGAATAACTTTCGACTATTTCCCGGATGCGACCTTGATTCAAACGTTTCCTGATTGGCCAGTTTACACTCTGCGCATCAGCGACCTCAGGTTAAATTCAAATACTCAAGACTACTGGATTCAAGCATTGGTGTTACTCCACCGGATTGCAATCTTCTCAAATACTGTCATTGAAAACATAAACAAATTTCACGTTCCCAAGGCTGATGGTAAGTTTTCCTACGTTTTTTTATTGTAGATTCACGCTAGTGTCATATAAAGATTCAGCTGAAAAGTATTTGGCACAATGGGGTCTTTAGTCTGAAAAATAATCATGGAGAAACAACACTGGATTCTTATTTCATGTATTTGGCGTGTCTTGCCGCATCACATTTATCGGTCATTTGCATCTTAGTATTTGCTCGTTGGCGAACGAGGGATCAGTCATCCGTTGCAAGCACGCTGGTTATGGTGTTTGCACACGAGATCAGTCTGAAAATGTTGACCGCTAGTCTGATGCTCCAACGTTTTTCGCACGAGGTTGCTGTGCTTTTTGAACATTGGAGTCATCATCAAAACACTCTATTGTTTCGATAGTATTGCAGAATTTCAGAAATTTTTTGAGTACATTCGTCATGATTGCCAAGATGGACTCCCAATCTCATATGAAGATAAAGGATGGCATCCATTCGGCTGAGATGCTCTGTCACGATGAAAGTGTTGAACTTCCGATATCAACAGTGAACTGATGTTGACATTCCGTCCAACCATATGTAGTCTTCAGCGAGACCGTGTTGATTGAAACAAGCCGAACAGTTGTGCAGAGTGTACAGTCCATCGTTCATGATGAATTTTTCTGAGTGAATTAAAGTACCATCTTATAAGGAAGTCGTTTCATTTACTCCATTCTTCTCGAACCGCTTGCTTGATCGGATTAGGTGGAATAGAGGGCGACTGTTTCAAGGGCAACGGTTGTAAGAGAATGCACCATTTCCGAGGTTTCCGCTATCAACCAGAGCTCCATCAGTCCCGTGCTCTTAATTATTCGGCATCGTTATCCAGTCTCACACCTGACGTTTGTTACTGATATCAGCGATCAGAGTTGCTGATCATGATGAGAGCAAGTGCTTTTCCTTAGGCATGCAGGCAACCTTGAGCTAAGGGTTTCAAAAAGTGTGAGCATGGCTTCTTTCATCTTTCTCCAGATAACCATCGCTAACATTGTTGCCGTCGAGATTCGTAGGCATCTGTGCCAACTGAACTCGGTGTTGCTAACCTAGAGAGGCAATTGGGAAGTAGCGAACTAACCAGCTACCCAATAAATGACGTGTCTTCGAAGGGAACCGATTAGATGCGGGTACACTACTGTTTTCAGAGTCATTTGGAGTACTTCCCGTATTCACACTAACCACGCATTGGGCCAACTTCTTTATTGTATGCATTCATGTTAACTTATAAGTATATACCACCTTATATTGCAAACGCCGTAAACATTATATATATATATTTGGTGATTTGTCCACTGTTCTCAGCAAGCTGATTGCAAAAGCTTCACTACTGTTCAAAGCGAGATCATTGTCGCCTTGTTAGAGAGGGAAATTACCGTCGTTGCAACTAAAGAATGGAGGGTGCCAGTGTCACTTTGGTACTATCTGCCACATGTATATATGCATATATGAAATGTCGCTTGAATAGTAAGACTTTGAAATTAGCGTCTTATTATCTCTTAGTTAAATTGCTCAGTTGTCTCATGTGTCGAACAAACCTCGACCCTGTGGGCAGAAAGGACGAAACCAAAATATTTTACCATCAAACGAAAACTCACAAAAGATACACTAGAATATCTGAGTGCTCAGTATCAAAAGGTTTTTGAACACCCAACCAAGAATATAATAAGATTCCCTCCATTTTCATGGATCTTTTTACTTTTTTTAACAGTTTTGGTAGATAAATTCTATTTACATACATAGGAAACAGTAGACCTGGGATAGGCATGAATTTCTATGAGGATTTTCGAAACCATTCTACGAGTTAGGGAGCACCACGAATTGTTTATCTAATTAGTTTGATTTTCAAAAATTCCATATCACTAGTTTGAGCCAATAACCCATGCAAAAAGATACATTTATCTCAAAACATTTGCATTTTTCAGTCAGAAGGATTGGTGAGTGCCCGCATATATTCTTGCCGTAAACGTTTTTAAACCAGGTCATATTTCTTAATACCGATATGACAGCCAAAAATAATCTTATCACTGCGTTTTTGCCACTTTCCTGCTTATACGAGGAATATTTTAAACATATCATCATCATTAACGGCATGAGATTTGTGTTCAAGACTGATGCTTCACTGCCGTACAGCCATGATTTATTTGAAAGCCTCATTGTAGCGAAAATAATAAAGGTGGACAGGGAAGGGACTTAGTGCAAGCTTACCACAATCATTACGAGGTGACTACATCTCCATATATTCACTCAGGCAATCTGCATACAAACTGACACCAACAACGCCACTGACATCGGTTGGCAGTCATATCTTGTAGTGTCTCCAACCAGGCACAGTGAGGATCACGCGGTCCCCATTCTGGAAAGCGAATAGCACCGACAGCACTCAAGCGTTTCGT